GTCGTAGATGTTATCGTTTTTTTTTTTAAAAAATATATGTGGCGCGAGTGTATATATATATGTGTGTGTGTGTGTGTATATATATATATATATATATATATATATATATATATATATATATATATTCATTCATTTTATAAGTTTAGTAGTGCTCGGTCTTGGACCAAGCGTTCGGTCTCAGTAGCTCTCGTTCTTGATAAGTACTTGATCTTGGACCAGCGCTCGTTCAATAGTGTTCGGTTTCTACAGGGCTCGGTCTTAAACCAAGTGCTCGGTCTCGTTCAGTAATCTATTATTACCGTTTTTAGAATAAGAGTCTTCAGCCAAACTCAATAGCGTTCGTTACTTCATAGTTTCTCATCAGTTATTAGTATTGAGTGTCAAACAGTGTTGGTCTTTAAAAGGTGTTCGGCCTAGAGTCTTAGTACTCGTCCTAGGCTTCGTGGCGTCCGGTTTGAACTCTTAGGAGTCTGTTTATTAAAGTAGATAAATTCGTAAATAGCGCTCGGTCACGTTAGTTTCTAAGAAGTGTTATTCCATTCGAACTTGTGCAAAGATGAGAAAGTGTAATCTTATTTCAGTTGAATGTATTGATGATAAAGTATAAGAGAATTTGAAATGTGATGCGAATGAAATAGTTTGGTTATGAAAGAGTATTCCAGGGAGGAATATCTCAGAAAATGGTTATTGATTAGTAAAGTATGAATGTGGGCAAAGCTTAGCAGGCGTTTATCCTGATATTCCGTGATTACTCATTCTCACGTAGAGAGAAGTAAGTCATGTGTGAGAATGGCAGGAGGTCCTAGTCCATAAGGTTAACTTGGACGAAACGGATTAACCTCGGGTGGCAGCTGTTGAGGGTATCCCAGTTATTACATCACCCGGGTGCACAAACGTCATAGCTACACAGATTCATACAGTCCTGACAGTCATAGTCAAGTGGTCGGTCTTTGTATGCCATGACGTATGAATTATGATTTGGTTGTTGTTTGATTTAATCACGAACATTGTATGTTTTTATTTAATCAACTAAATTACATAAGATTACCCTATTTATTATCTTGTCTGTGTTGTGAGCAGAAGGAGAAGAGTTGCTGGAAGAAGCACTGGAAGAGGTGGAAGTGAAGGTCGAACTTTAGAAACGTTCGGTAAGTTGTTGGCCTCTTCTTTTGTAGGACCGTTCGGTATAAGTTTATTTTGTAAACCGTTCGGTCTAGTTATAGTCAGTGTACGGTTTTAATTCCCTGATATTATGTAAGGTCGTTCGGCCATAATAGTATTTCGTTATGTGTAGAACTTATCTGTAGTATTATTAATATGTGATTATTCTCGTATATGATTTTATACTGTATTTTTATAATGTTACAAAAATAATATAAAATTTAACTTTTCTATATTATGATACAAATATACTTGTAATTTAAATTATTAATATTTAAATATTAAATTACAGATATCGAGTAGTTTAAGATTTAATCTAATAGTTATTTTAATTTATTTAATTAAAAATATTAATTAATTAATTAAAAGACTAAAAAATATTTATGTAACTAAATGTACTTAAAAAAGATTTACATAATTAAATATGTTTTTAACATATAAAAAATTTTAAGAATTAAAAAAAAAAATAGCAAACCTGCTTGTTAATCCGTCAGCCTGCCTCTTGTGGGGCAAAATTTTCAGTGCTATTTTCTATGGTCTACTTTAAAGTGATTCAGATCCCTATGCCACTCTTAGTTAAAAACATATCAAAAACGAGAAAACATATAAAAAACCAGAAAACAGTGGCTATAATATGTTGCTAAAACTTGTTTAAAAACATTTATAAACAAGAAAACGTAGCTATAAAAGAAGTAGCTATAAAAGATCTTCCTGATAGGTACCTGCACCACGGATATTAGTTCCTACTCCAACCTGTTCAATAAGGAATGACATTAATGGAAAAAGAAATTCCTTCAAAGAGTTAATTAAGAATTCGTTAATCAATAATTAGGAAGTGCAGGCAGATACATGACATGACACAACATGCACAACAAAAGACGTTTCTTGGTAAATTAAAGTTCGACAAATTAGGACCTGCACATGCATGCACTACTAGTCTCATGCATGTACAATTTTCAACCACTAACTTGTACCATATCTCTTTTTCGTGTTTGGTCTCAGTGTTGTTCAACATGCTGATGTATCTACCCTCCAATTAGTCTCTTCTTTTCTCAAGCTCTTCGTCCACCACTACACATATAAATATATGTTCAGTCAGTCACCTAAGAAGCAATAATCTAGCAGTAGAACATAAACAATGGGGAGGTTCAGCGTAAGAACCAGCAGCAGCAGGAAAATGAGGGTTCTGGGATGTATTTTGAAGTTGAAGGGTATGTTGGAAAAGCTTCAAAAGAGTGTCTTGTTGCGGAGACATAAATCAAGTTTCTGTGAGGGAGATTATGAAGAATTGGGAGATGACAGAGGGTGTGTTGCTGAAGATGTGAAAGAAGGGCATTTTGTTGTGATTGCAAAGGATAATATTGAGACAAAGAGATTGGTGGTTCCGTTGAGCTGTTTAAAGAACGCAAGATTCTTGAGGCTGTTGGAGGAAGCTGCAGAAGAATATGGGTTTGATCAACATGGTGCACTGACCATACCTTGCAGGCCTAGTGAACTTGAGATGCTATTGGCTCAACAATGGAAAGAAAGAAGACGATTCTGATGCTGCTAGGGAAAACTCCTGCAGAAAAACCATGGCTAAAAGCTACAAAAGTTATGTACTCATGTATTGAGCATATACTACTGCTAGAGTTTTTACATTGAGGGTTTTATTTAAAGTACTATTAGCAGTTGTCAGAAAAAGGAAAAAAAGGATCATAGATTCATAGCACATAGCAGATAGCTGAAAATTTTAGTATTCTCGTATTATTAATGTTTACTAATTATACATGACAGTATAAATTGAAACATTTATAATGTTTTCTGCATATATAACGACTGAGATTGGTTTCAAGAGTGCATATATATATATATATATATATCAATTCTTGTTAGATTGTTTCAATGCAATCTGTAGTCTTAAATTCAGATATTAAAATGGAAAGTTGAGTTAAATATTTTAAATATTAAACATAATGATTCTACTGTATTCGAATTCAAGCAAGATCTTTTTAATTTAAAATATCTAAAAATAGGGGTTTAGTTAGTAGGTAATTAGAAGAAAAAAACAGGGCGAATTGATATTTTTTTAGTTTATAAAAAGAATCGAAAACTATTTTCTATGAATTAATTAATTATGCTAATCAAGTATCATCATTTCTTTTGCAAGATTATGAAATTGATTTAAAACTTTTCAATATTGAAAAATACATTATAAAAGATATTTCTCAGATTTTGGAGAAGCATATATAAAAAAAGTTTGAGTTCAAAAGAAATAGTAATATATCAAGACTTTATATATGATTTACTTTTTCATCCTAATAAAGAGCTGTATCCAGACTCTCAATGTAGAAATTAACATTCTAATAAACTTTCATAAGTTTATTATTACTCATGTATAAAAAAATAATCAACAATTTTTATTTTCCTTTTTAGCTTACATAAACACTTTCAGATATTCTTATATGAAACTTACCGTAAGTATGTATACCTTTTAACACAGCCCTTATTAAGATTCTTTAAAGTAAATGAAAAGTTTTAGGCATCACTTCGACTAAGTTTTGCCAAAAGATTTTTGTAAAAGAGATGTTGAAGACTTTGATCTTTATCGCCAAAGAAATTTTTTTAACCTGTTCAGAGATATTAGATCAACGTAAAAATGTTTTTTTTTTCTTTTTTCTAAAAAATCTCTTATGGTCATATCTAGGCACTATCATATTAAATTTGTTAATTATTCTGTGAGTTTCGAAAAATACTTTCACATAATTTAATAGATTAAATCAAGATTAATATATATTTTGATTGTGTTTTATAGTAAATAAATTATGTAAATTTCAACTTACAAACATTATATTGAGTTACAATTTAAAATATAATTTTCAATAAGTCAATTAAAACAGTATTTGACTGACTAAATCAGTGCATTAGATAAATATTCTAATATTCTCGATTTATTATCTTAATATGTTAAATTAGTTTTAATGTGTTAAACCACTCTCATACAATTTGCTAGATTTCCCTTAAAAATGACTACTCATTTAAAACACTTCAACCAACATTAGAGAGAGAACCAACAAATCAATACAACAGCATGAGATATGAATTATCAATGCATTAGAGCGAAAATAAAGTCTTATGACCACAGAATACTTACTAATCAATAACTATTATAAAATCCTCTCTTCGAAAGAAAGATTTATAGAGTGTTTCTCATTTTTCGGATACATGTCTTTTATAGGCGAGAACATGTCTTGCATATTTTTCCGTTTTATTGAATAACACAAGCAATACCTGCGTGTCCACATTTTCTTACTACTTACGCTACTTTATTTTATACAAAAAATATTTAATATTCATATTAACTTTAATTTTATATATTCATTTAAATACACATTATGTGTAATTTACAACTTAAGAATCATATTAAAAAATAATATAAATTATGTGTTTATATAAAACCTATATACTCATAAAAGAGAAAAATAAAAAACGAGTCTTATATTCCGAAAAAATAATAGCCCTGTCATATACTCTCGTGTAGCATTGAAAAGAATTAAACAGAAGGGATATTTACAATACTTCAAGTTTCTCAATAAAATACATCTACCTGTTTTAAAATTCAAAATTATTGAAACATAGCAGTTTAATTCTTAAATTTTCTCATCCGAGAGAAGCAAATAAGAAAAGTCATTATTTTTTTCCTTGTTTATTAAAGTCTCCTAACTCTCAGTAAGTAGAAGGTTTAAACTTTTGACATGTACTGCGAAATTCCCCCTACAAGGTTTTCATGAAAAGCTACCAGGGAAGAAAGTGAAATAATGAACTAACAGTAATTATAATACCAAAAATATAACACTCTGGGTACAATAGTTCATTTTCTAGAATAAGCCTCTCAATCGTAGGTATTCAGATAGGGACTGTCTACCTCAAGGTGATATCCCATTTATCCATGCTGGTTAACAACCAAGCAAATAAATGATAAGCACAACAAATAGTAATAGTAGAATGGAAAAAAAAAATATTACCAGTCCAAACCCCGGCATCTCGGCTAGGACAAAAATCATAACCACTTTCTATACCATATACCGATTATGCCAATGGAAATCGTCCAAGTTGAGGGAAATCCAACTCAAACGGTACCACCCACTCAAGAACAACGAGTGAGAAATCCTTGGGCAATGAGAAATCCCTACTACCTTACCTTCTTTAGTCAGATAAACCCGCCTTGGCCTTTAGATGAGCCTTGAATTCCATAATGTCACCCTCCCATCTAGTCACACTTTGATTAGCACATACCCATATCTCATGGGCCACCTGATTTATGAGCCTGAAATCATGGCTAACAAGCACCAAGCCCCCATCCCATTCATTCAATGCCTCAGCCAAAGAATCAATTGTCTCAATATCCAAATGATTGGTTGGTTCATCCAAAAGAAGCATTTGTGGCTGCCTCCAAGCTAACCAAGCAAATATCACCCGACTCCTCTGCCCATCGGACAAGTTCTTCATTGGCATCACCTGGGCTTTACCTGATAGCCCAAACTTCCCTATCGCTGCCCTCATCTTCTCTTCCTCGTTTCCAGGATATTCTTTGATCATAAACTGTAGAGCAGACATATCCAAGTCTAACTTTTCAGCCAAATGCTGGTGATATTGAGCAATCCGAAGATGATTATGACGCCTAACCATGCCATCAGAAGGCATCAAATCACCTGTCATTAGCTTCAGTAGTGTACTCTTCCCAGCCCCGTTGGGTCCAACCAGTGCGACCCTAGAATCTAAATCAACCCCAAAGTCGATGTTCTTGTATATGAGGTTATCAGGAGTGTAACCAAACGACACCTCAACAAACTGGAGAACTGGAGGGGGAAGTTTTCCAACATCAGTAAAACGGAAAACCAAAACCTTGTCCCTGACCACTTTTTCTGCAAGTCCACCACGTTCCATTTTTGCCAATGTTTTCTCCTTACTCTGTGCCTGGCGAGCAAGTTTTGCAGAACCATGACCAAATCGAGCAATATATTCCTTCATTGAGGCAATCTGCTCCTGCTCCCACTTATACTGTTTCATCTGGTTCTCTTCTAGCTCAGAACGAGTCTGAACATATTGATCATAGTTACCAGTATAGAGCTTCAGTTTTTTGCTTTGCATGTGGATAATATTTGTGCAGACACCATTAAGAAAGTCCTGAGAGTGTGAAATCACAACCAGAATACGTTCAAACTTCTTCAAACTCTCCTCCAGCCAAACACAAGCTTCCAAATCTGCAAACAGATTTTAAAAAATTAAGAACAAGCAGGTAGAAATTTCCAAAAATGGCAACAATCATAACAACAATAATAGTGGAACAAAATGCACACACCAAATTCAATATAACTAAATCAAAAAACAGAAGATGCCTAAAAGGCCAAAGATGGACGATTGCCAAGGTAGAGAGTATACCAAGGTGATTGGTTGGTTCATCAAGTAGAAGAATGGTTGGGTTCATAAATAGAGCTCGTGCTAATGCAATTCTCATTCTCCAACCACCAGAAAAATCACGTGTCTTTTTTGCCTGCATTTGCTTGTCAAAGCCAAGACCATATAAGATTTCCGCAGCACGTTTTTCTGCAGTTGCTGCGTCTAAGGCGTCCAATCGCTCATAAACACGTTCCAGGGACTCACCACCTCCATCATCCTAGAACAATGATTTCTCAAACAAAGTTAGCAAGCCTACAAAATTAAAAACAAAAAGGGGTAAAATCTAGAAAAATAATCACTTAAAAAAACCTGTGCCGCCAAAATTTCAGCTTCTTTCTCCAATTTCAACCTTTCTTCATCACAGCTTATGACAGCTTCCAATGCAGACATGTCAGAGGCTTCAATCTCCCGCGTGAGGTGATAGATATCCATATGGTCAGGAATTGGAAGTTCCCGCTCACCAATGGCTGTAAGGAGTGTAGATTTTCCACAACCATTTAACCCAAGTAAACCATAACGCCTGAAAGAAATTCAAAGCAATAACAATCATTGGCAAAAAATTGAAGTAATGCATTACATATGTACCAGAAAGGGTAAGGACAACAAACCTTCCATAATTCAGCTCCAGTTCAGAATCAACAATGAGATCATGTCCATGGAATGTAACAGACAGAGACTCTATCTGCAATTTAAGAAAACATGACCAATCGCATCAATACAAAACACTAATCATTTTCAGCATTAACAAAGTTATAATTAATTTGGCAGAAATGTCCATTTGCTGCACAACATTACCTACCTCAGAAGGGTTTGTAATGGGTGAGTATTTGGTTACATTCACAAAGGAGAACCATGGCAACATGGTAGAATAGCCAAGCTACAGACCCAACTGCCCAGCTAGGCGCTCAAATACGTGCACGCACGCTAGCAACAATAAGCTACAAGTAAGACTCACTAAACCGGGAATGTCTACCACATTCTAGAAAACTTACACATTATCAAGATAGATTATGTCCGCTATAAGGATGCAGGCAACAAGTGCGTCAATAATGTTAGGTCTGCTGTAAACTTTGATCTAAAAAACGTATACACTAAATCGAATATATATTTAATGAAGTTCTTCCCAGAATTTTGTGTTTTCCACAAACTAAGGCATAATTTCTCATTAAAAGTGCAAACGAAAAAATCTAAGCGCTAAATTACTAAACATT